CCCTCATTAGAGCAGATACATCCACATTATCCAAAATGTTTCTATGGACATGCATCAAAGTCAGATGTGTCAAGTCTCTTCTGTGTCATATTACTCTAGTTGTAGAGGTGGTGGGCTGAGGAGTAGCTGGTGGTCCACTCTTTTTATTGGGTTGTTTGTTGGAGAAAAAAATCCAAAATCCTTTTTTGCGCCATTCTAGAAATGTGTCACTGCAGTGTGTGTGTCGCGTCAATTACGTCACTCTCCCACGACCTACGACCTAGATGACTCGGATTTTATTTATTTGGAAAATAAATTCAAGCCACCTGACTGATACAAATATATACTATGACTATTATATGCTACTGTATACAGCTAATTTTATTTTAAGTGAAATCATAACTATTTGATGTAGTTTAATAATTTTTATTTAGGTGGTCACTCAGTTTTTCAAATGTACACCACTCGCCCCCAGCACCCCTACTTCCCGCGGCTATGACCGGAAACAGACATTTCGAGCGATACACACCACAAACCCACTGAACTGATTACCCAAGATCCTCAGCTTGAAGCTCGTTGATTGGATGTTGGGATATGTTGGGATATGGTGTTAATGCGATATGATATCCGAAAACATTTAAATAAAATAATACTTTATTCCGAGTGTTCTTGCTTTTCTCTTTGGAAGTCATCACATAAATGCATTTTAATACACGGTTCGGCTGCATTAAATATTACACATCTGCCGTAGTTCTTTATTTATAGAGCCCTGATGAGAAAACTTCTGGACAAACTTGAAGAACTGCCGCCAAAACTGAATATGTGACGTGGATCATAAATATATCAACAATTAAACATTTATTTTCACAAAAATATGTCTCCTTGCAGTATCAATAGTAATTCGGCTGACTTTTATATTTGATCCAATTGGTAGATAGGTTATATTTACACCATAACGGTGCACAGCTGATAGAAAAGGACTTTTTCTTTTTCTTTGAATATAAGAATGTAAATACTAAGTTGAGAGAATAGTCAGGGGATTTGGGTGATGGCAGACACATCTATGGAATCACAATTCCAATAGCTTACTATTAAATGACGGGTATACCTTTCTGTCTGTGATGTTTTACAAATCAGATATTAATGTGTAGAAGTAAAACATGAGAAACAGTATAGCAATATCCTGTAAAAGTATGTAAAAACATGAATAAAACTACACATATTCAGATGTTATACATACATAAGTATCCTACACTAATAATACAAAGTTATTTTTAGTATGCTGTGTGTACCTTGTGTGCACCGCCTAGTGGTTAAAGCACGGTATTTAATTATTTTTGTTGAATAATGTTATTTGATGATAAACATATTAAGAGTACATACTTTCATAGGGGGAAAGTAGAAGGTCAATGATAGAAATATAGAATATAAAAAATCAAGAAGATACTGTAAGTCAGTGGTTCCCAACCGCCAGGCCTCAGATGATTTGAGGCCAAATATCATATTTAGACTTTTAAAAAAAAATGTTATACATATAATTGTAAAAGGCCTTGTCTCTACATTACAATAAAATATAAAAAATAATTGATTGATTCATTTGAATACAAATGTAAGTTAGTAGCTATTAAAGGCATCCAAAGACATAAATGTATAATTGTTTCTTTAATAGAAATGTTTCTTCTGCCCATAAAGTGTCCAAACCAGGCTTTTCTGGATAAGCGCATTTTTCAAACATTGTCATTGTCCATGCCGGTTTCAGTTGGATTATTTGGCAGTTGCTCCGATCAGATCGGTCTCCTCCATTTTGTAGATTATTTACGACTTTTGAATCCACATAAACACAACGGCAAAATCCGGTTTACTTTGAGCATGTGTTTTAAACAGTTTAATCCCTTTGTGAATTGTTTCCACTTCCGCGCCTTCCTTTAATGTCTTCATACAGCGGGAATCCAAATGAATTCATCCTGAGTCCAATAACCATCAAAGTCACTTCAATAGAGCTCCTTAATTACGCTTTCATCCTCTTTTAACAAAATACTTCACATTCACCCAGTTTGTGAGAGTAGTTGTAGCATTTTTGAGACTTGTAAACTGTAAATACCGCTATTGCGCGCGCCCGCCCCCCCCCTCCCCCCATGTGTGTGTGGGGGGGGCGGGGGGTGGGGGCGCAACTTGCAACAGGAGTCATTTGGAAAAAAGGTTGGGAACCCCTGCTGTAAGTGATCTCTACAATAAAACAGTTTAGTGCTGGATGTACAAAGATATTAATATGAGGATGTGCAAATCAGACAAACTAATTAACCTTTATTAACACATTAAAGAATACTTTAGGTTAAGGTCTTCTTTCAAATAAGAAAAAAGCTTTGGGAGTATCTATCTACAGATAAATATTAAGCCTGACAAAGTACTTAACGTCTAATATATTGCTTTCCTGCAATGTTAACTATGTTGAAGCACTTATTTTAACTGATATTATACACATTAATTATACTCTTATGTATGTAGATAGTATAACAAATGTGCAGAATATGACAGTTTAATGGTGGAGGTATACACAGATATTGATAGATGTCTTGTAATGTACTGTTGAGGAACCTGTGACCCAAGTTTTTCATTCATTGCATAACTACACCGTAGTTGTGTATATGATATGTCAATAAACCTTAGAAAATCTTGAAATCTTGAAAGGAATGTGCAAAATAGCCATTATATACAGTTGTTAATCAACTATTAGTAGAGAATAATGATTATTGAATATACTTTATAGAGATCTGCAGATAAATGTTTAGTCTTCTCAAGCAGCAACTATCAAATATCTCTCCTGATTGTTGGCACTTGACAATCACCTTCCCTGAATTTTACTCAGGTGTAACTAAAGTCTGCTTTAAGGGTTGTTTATATTTCACATCCTTAATCAGAATCTGCAAAGTAACTAAACTAAATGTAGTGGAGTAAAAATACCAGGTTAACCTCTGAATTGTAGTGGAGTAGAATTACAAAGTAACAATGAGCTGTCATGTGGGTATATATTAATGCTGCCCATTATGGATAGAAGCGATTTTAATCCATTTAATAATTACATGTTTTAAATTTGTACACACCAATTTCTTTCCTATCGCTTAAACCTCCAGGGCTGTACATAGTGTAATACTGTCAATTTCTAATTTTGGGGAAAACGTCTTTTAAAACTACAATTCCCAGTAGAGACGTGCCATAGAGAACATGTTGCGAAACACAATAGCCAGCATGTGTAGTTCTGGGGGGGCGTTCGAGTACAGTTTTGAATAGTCTGTCGTGGTTTCGTTCCATTTCAAAGAGCTTTGACGCTCGGCGTAACCTTGGCGCACTGCCACTCCAACATCCAATCCCAGAGCTTGAAGATTAATCACAGGGTTTGTCAACGGGACTGTAGTCCCAAACGATAGCTGGGGATTATGGGTAGTGTAGTGTCTTCGGCCATCCTAAACTCTGATTTTTTTTTCGAATATCATATCGCATTAACACCATATCCCAACGTGCATTGCGGCAAAAACATCCAATCAGCGAACATGAAAACATTCCCAGTTAGAAATGCAAAAACAAATCGCTAAATAAAAAGATAAAACACTGGCATGTAATTTACGTTAGAATAAATAGAATGGTTTTGAATAAAAGATAGAGTAAAATCTATGTCACTTTATAGCCACGCCCACTTTTGGGGAAACCAACGCTGTCATTTGAACGGCGATCAAGCCTGAAGCCACAGAGCTCTTCTTTTGCTGTCCTTTCTTCTTAGAGGAAGTACAGAAACACGTAACTCTGGATTTTTTGTAATGTTTGAGGTGCAATAAACGACACAGTAGCTTTGTGGCATGTTAAAACTATTATTTTCTGCCTCGTTCATGAGAGTAACAGCTGGCGAAATTACAGCCTCGCCTACTGATTTTAATTTAACCATATATCGAACCCGATCGTCGATTTCAAATGTGTGCTCTAAAATGATATTTATAAATGACTATTATCATTATTATAAGCAAGACAATAAATGGCAAAGATATGTAGAAAATAAACGTATTTAAGATACGTTCATAAGAAACGTAACGTGGGAGAAAATATGTTTCTAAGATATGTAGAAAATAAACGTATTTGAGATACGTTCATAACAAACGTAACGTGGGAGAAAATACGTTTCTAGCTAAACGTAATTGAGAATGCAGTTTAGTTCTGTGGGAACGTAATTTTTAGGAGACAGGGTCGCCCCCCTTGCGTTGGAAAAAGCAGACACAGGGGACCTTGACATAACGTCAACAAAGGCCGACCTGGGAGAGAGGATGTGTTGAATCAACATGCCCTTTTATCGGTCCATGTCATAATGCTATTTATTGAGCCACTTAAATTGTAATATAATGACAAGCAATAGCATCAGATGTTTTATAATGAGGTATTAATCCAGAATAACATGAATGTATAAGTTACTCAGTAGGCCTACCAATAGAAGAGACTTTTTCCTGCAGCCAGCAGGTGAGTAAAAAGCTTAAAAATGTCCTGTCGTCTGAATGTACTATTTTCTGCATGTATAGCACAAAAACTCCCCGTAGACTTCATTTATACAGTCTTGCTAATAGCGAATGTATTCTGACGCTGTTTATTTTGTTCCTTGGCTCTATTTTGGAGCATGTTCAAATTATTCTAGTAGCATTGCTCTTTCATTTTGATTTGTGTGATTGCATGGTTGCTTGTAAATACAAAATATATATAATGGAACAAACTGATGATCCAGATGATGAACATCTGGATACAAAAAAAGGTTTTCTTTGGTTTTATGATGTGTTGTTTGTGTTCAGCAGTCCCCACACACTGACCATAATGATGTAGCCGCTGTTCTCCTTGGGGATTCATGTCGCTGCGTTAAACACAAAAGAGACTTAATAACGCAGATGCTCTTTCCCCTCTGCCACTGAATTCTCGAGGGGGGGGGGACACTTTTAATTGCAACAAGTAATTCATCAAGTGTTCATCAGACCTTTCTGATTACATTTCAGGTCAACTGACTACGGAGCAACGTACCAGAAGCTTAATGAGAAAGTGGGAGCAAAGACAATACTGAGTTATTTGTACGTGAGCCCCAACAACAAGAGAAAGGTAATGTTCATATTTTCCTTATTCGCTTCAAATGTGATCATTGCCCTGATTGTGTGCACTGCTCTTGTTTCCTATCCACTGTTGGTGTGTACAAATTAAAATCTAGGCATGACTCATCATCATCTGTATTTTTGGCTGTCTGTCTTTTCCTCTATAACTTTCTAGTTTCTGCAATGTCAGTTAGAGGCTTTGAACTGTAAGTTATTTTTTAACAAGTTCAATCCATGTAGACAGAACTGGTAGCAAAGAAAATACTTCCAAAATAGCTTGTCTATAGTTCCTCTTTTATTTCTGTCTTTCTGGAACTAGGCTAAATCAAGACCTAAAAGGATAGCAGATAACGATAGGTTCATATTTTCCTTCATGCTTAGCCCTAGCATTTACCCAGGTTTGGGTCAATTGACAGTTAGAACCATCCGTCTTTGTTAACTCCACAGCTTCACCTTCCTCCCCTTACATGACTCTAATCAAGAAGGGTCATTTCCTCTGAGTTAATTAGTGTCTACTAATGATTATGAAATTCAGCCCCACCTCAGTGTAACCCTGGCCACCCATCTGATCCAGTTAGGAGTAGCTGTCAGTGATTGGGACATCCCTGAGGTTAGGTAAAGGTGTAAATCCAGCCGATGAGACGCTGATTGTGGGTGGAACATGAACATAGTGACTAAACAGGGAGCCTGGATGTGAAAACATTAGAGTACTGGGGTGCACACAAACAGATTACATGGTATGTAGACTGACACCCATAATGTGGTTCCAGATTTCGACAAGCTTTAGTTCTGCCTTGAAACTAGCGTAGGCAACATTTAGCACAACTAGCTAATTGGTGTGCCAGGGAGATGGAAGCATATAAATGCTAAGAGTTGTGTTTAAGCTAGGGGAACTGTGTAGTTTCTTCACAGCTGTAGGGTGGAAAACATAGATCGTGCTAACGCGCATCGAATGGAATATTGCTCATTACCAGGATGAGGAAAAGTAATTCTAGCTGCCTTTAGATTCAAAGCAAAACGGGATATAACTATTACTCAATTAATTATTTTTGTTTAAAGCCTTTTTGACCCCTTTTTATTTGGAAAGTGTTTGTTCGGTCTTCTCAAAGAGTAATGCAAGTGTTTGAAGTTCCATATTTTCATAATGAAAATGTTCCACCAAAGTTCCCATTTGGCTAAATGCTACGTTGGTCCTCAGAAAAGGGACCCTTTCTGCCCTTGTACTTTTGTAATAACACATTTTTTTCTAAAAGCCATACAATGTCATTGTTTTGTTGTTTAATTATTGGTTGCACTCACCAGTAGGTGGCTTGTCTATGCACATTCCTGCAAGACAGCAAAACCATGGTATGTCATGAAATGTGTTGTTGAAGTGCTGCAAGTCTTGCTTGTGAAGTAATACAAATTAAACATGTTTTTACCACTAGTTGTTGCACTCTAAATGATGGAACATCTGCCACATGTGTCAATAAAAGTCAATGACAAGATGTCCAACACAGCCAGTGGTTTTTGCCCTTTCGACTTTTTGATAAATATCATAATCCAAATCATAATCAGAAATCCTTTATTAATCCGACGGCGGGGAAATGTACATTGTTACAGAAAAAAGTGGCATAGAAGCAGTAGCGATGACGGTATATAAGTCCAAGTACGCATTACATTTCATTTTCATCCACTTGCAATATGCAATAAGTCCAATCAACAATCAAGATTCAAACTAAAATCAGCAATAATTGTTCAAGTATATTAGCTTTAAAAAGGCACATCATTATAATTGCTACTTCATTGTCTCCAAATAAGCCGACCTTTTAAAGTGCTACAAATATAAATGGTTTTCTTTGTTTTTAACAATTTATTTTTATTAACAATGCATGTTCTGTAGGAGATTGAAAAATCGATGAAGAAGTTTTTAAGCTTTTGAAATGCGGCAACCCTAAAGACAATGGGAAAAACACAAAAGCTTTGAGTACAGGAAACGAGCCAACTGAACAACACAAGGACTCAGTTTAAACAGTCTGAACAACCGGCCGATGATGACCTGCAAACAACTTGACAGGTTGTTAATATCTCTCACAGACACTCAAGGAAACAAATAAAATGACAGACACGCATTCAAACCATCAGGCTCTTACGCACACACAGACTGACTTTGTCTGTCTCCATCCTCGCGTCTTCTCTTACCACCCTCATTAACATACACATTCTCACACAGACAAGCATTCCAATTATCTTTGTCTGACACATGTTTGCACCCCCTCTCTGGCTCTTATTTCGCTTGCACATTCATGATCCCCATGTTGCGAAGGCATGACAATTGTAAAAATATGAAAAGGACTAAAAGTATTTTGCTTCACCAGCAGCCCCATGAGGCAATAATAATGACATGCATGTTAAAAAAAAAAAGCAGTTGGAAGAATAAGAAATAGAGACAACTTTGCAATTCTTAGGTGATTTAAGTATGACAATGTTGAGCTGATCCTGACAAGATGAGTCCAAACATAGACCACATTGGTCGGATGGAGGTAATTACCAGTTTTATATTTGTAAAACGTTTTTTAAATCACATCCAATGTTAGGGTAAATGCCTGAAAGCTATACAAACATGGATTCCTCAAATCAGCCAAAGTCGGTAGTGAAAGGTGACCCAAATTGTGTAGCTTTATTAAGCCCCGAGCCTGTTTTTCAGGTTTTAGGCTCGAAAATGGCATTCCCAGAACAAATGACCATATCTTCCCTTCTAAAAGGGTTAAATTAATAATCTTTTTTCTCAAAGCAAGGTTACACCTGTGAGTTGGATGTAGAAGTGTCAGAATCAATATAAATGTTTTTATTTTAAAGAAAATTCAGATTGAAAACTGTAAATTATAGTGTCCGTCCAAAATATATGTTGTACTTATAGTGAAAACTAACCTTGGATGATGGGTTAGTAGACTAAAAGCTTTAGGAATCCAAAGTACAACATATAATAAGTACCCTGTATCAAGATAGATGCAAAACAAGTGACATTTGACCTTTTTAGAGAGATTTAGCCAAAAAAAAACACTTCTGGGGTCATTTGGTGGATTTTCCATATCTCTGGCCCCCCTTGCTCGATTTTGCTGATTGACATCTCTTTCTAACCGTCAGAGCCAATGGAATCGAGGGGGACTCCCACATACTCCTTATTTGGTAATGTGTGTGTGTGAGGCTGCCTCATAGCCAAGACCGGAAGCTGCGATAACTCTGGTGGCTACCATTAGCAGCTAACTTTTACTCTCAGATTTTTACATACAAATGGTATTATGGATTATAAATTTAAAAAAAGTATCACCCAGAAACATTATCAACCTATGGATTAACCGATTCAGTCGCGTGTTTTCTCGTTTTAATGCCATTGAACACGTCTTTTGATCAGATTGACAGCTACGGTGAGACGATCTCCCGTAAAAGCTCCGTAAAGGTACGTGTTGTGATGTCTGTGTTGTGATGTCTGTCGCGAGTTCGGATCACTCAGTGATGACACTATATACCTAAATAATCTGTGGAACCTCAGCTTTAATCGGATATCTTGTATGTGCAGCTACGATAAGTAATAAGGGTACTTTTATCTTGAGTTCTGTGCCAAAGTGCGTTAGCATTTTTCGCCACGGGGTCATTTAGATGCTTCAGGGTGGAGGATGTGATGTTTCCCACCCAGTGCGGGTGCCTGGGGTCTGCCCGTCAGGAAGTTCAGGATCCAGTCACAGAGGGCGCTGTTGAGCCCGAGGTCTCTGAGCTTGATGACCAGCTTGGAAGGCACAATGGTATTGAATGCTGAACTGTAGTCAATGAACAGCATTCTCACATATGTGTTCCTCTGGTCCAGGTGTGAGAGGGCAGTGTGGATGGTGAGGGCAATGGCCTTGTCTGTGGACCTGTTTGCTCTGTAGGCAAACTGCAGGGGGTCCAGAGAGTCAGGGAGGGAGAAGCTGATGAAGGTTTTTGACTAACCGCTCAAAGCACTTCATTATGATGGAGGTGAGTGCTACTGGGCGGTAGTTGAGGCTGGTGATTTTTGTCTTTTTGGGGACAGGAACGATGGTGGAGAGTTTAAAACATGTGGGGACAACAGACTGCAGCAGGGACCTGTTGAAGATGTGTGGGTGTGGGAAGTTTGGGGGAACACATATAAAACACATCCTATCTTCATTCTGCAAAAAAGAGCCATACGAATTATACATAAAACGACGTACAGAGAACCAAAAAATACATTATTTATCAAACTAAAAACACAAAAACTACAAGACCTGGATGACTATAAAACTATTCAAATGATGTTCAAAGCCGCAAATCAACAATTAACTCATATCCAGGGATTTTTCACACGGAGAGAAAACATGCACATGTTGAGAGGAAACTGCATTTTCAAAAAACCACCCATACGAACACATTTAAAACTTCATTGCATCTCATCACAGGTGTTGGTCTGTGGAATAACTGAATGATGCACTGAAATATTGTACAAGTCTATCTAAACTGAAACTATTATTAAGAAGCCAAATCATTAATGGTTATGAGGGGGACCTGTACAATCATATTTGTTATTTATTGTAATTGTAAAAGTGATTCTTTTTTGATTGTTTTGTTAAAAAAAACAAGACAAACATGACGCTGATGACAATGACCTAATATTTTATTTACAAGGAAAATGTACTCTAGACGGGGTAGGACCAGAAAAGTTTTCTTTATCAGGGCTTCGATGTCTTATTTGAGATTTTTTCTTTTCTTTTTTTTTGTTTGTACTTTGTTAAAATTATTATTTTTATTGTTGTATGTTTTGTTTCTGACTAGTTCAATAACTTGACAAAAGAAAAAAAAAGAAAAAAAAGATTTCTGTGAACACCTCTGCCAGCTGAACTGCACACACCCTGACTCCCAAAACACACCAGGAGCGTCTGCGTCGTGTTACGGCCGCGCCGCGGCGGTCGTAAGGATCGCGGCCACTCTAGTCAATGGGTGCTATTACACCACACGCGCCGTGTTACGGCTCAG